TTTGCAACTAAAAAGATTTAATACCTAACCATAAGAAGAATTTATCAAAAAAACTCATTTCTACAGAGAAGATTTATTTTTTTTGAAGAATCCAAGTTTGCCTTTTTCAATTGAAATCTAATTTTGTGCATAGCTTTAAGTTTTGTTTTCACCTATTTTTACTCATGTTTATCTTGCATCTTTTATACATTTAATTTTATGCCTTTTGTTAATCGTTTTGTGCCTACCGAAAGAGAAAGATCTCCTATAAGAATGGCTACTTCAAATCAACAGAATGTCGTTCAGCATGACAATCCTCAATTAATTTTTAACATGCTAAAAGGTTCAATTCTTATATTTGATGGCTATTCAAACAATCTTTCTACATTTTTAAGAAAGTCATCAGAAAACTATCACGTTTTGCAAATCTCTTCAAGAAACTTTTGAAGATAATACAAGAAGAATTCAGTCAATTATTATTCATAATGTCCAACCTATTGAACATCAGTCTTTGTTATCACACCAGACGATCCATCAGATCTCAATTATTACAAATTTGCAACGATTTAATTCATATCTAAATTCACTTTTATTAGTTCTACAATTGAACCGGCAAACAGGTCTCAACAATTATCTCATCATCAGATTACCTTACTTATTGAACATTTAAAATCCATTTATAAAGACGAAGAATTATTGCCATTCGACAAAATAAATTTATTTGAGATTTAGGATCTTTCCCTTTTATCGCTTATACTTTTAGAAAACCAACTTATTTTTCTAGTTGAGTTTCCCATTTTAGATGTTAGAACTTATTCCTTATTCAAGTTATGTTCAATCACAGTCAAAAAAGAATTAGTAAAATTACCAAGTGATTATATTTTATACTTTGAGGAAGTATTATTATTGCAAAAATATTATAGAGTTAAGCAATCAGCTGTATGTTTGCACGAATACTTTCCAGTCGCCATGTCAACCACTTAAGTTAGACACTTGTGAGTCTGAAAGTCTAGTAAACTACACGCGAATCCTAGAATTAAGTAAGAACAATTATGTAATCGACACTAATGTTTTAACAAAAATCAAGGATTGTAAAGGAATCCATCATATTCATTTTACTACTCACATAATTTTAGAATGTCATACATTTATTAATGATCAAGTATTAGAATTTGACTCTAATTATGAAATTGAATTAGAATTATCCTTCAGAGGTGACAACGATAAATATTCATTTAAGAAAACAAACACTCTTATTTCGAAAAAAATCTCACGTCACTTCAAGTTCATTTTGAAGATTTACAGTTTCATTCTACTATAAGTTATCCTGTTATTTTTACTACGGTAATTATTTTATTGGTTTTATTTATAACAATTTTTGTTAGATACCGTTATGTAAAGGATACTAAAACTCCACCTCAAAGTAGTGATATTTAAGAAACTTCTCCTTCAAATTAAAAGTTCAAATCATTTTTTGAGATTGGAGACCAATCTTTCCGAGGAGGGAGGAGTTATGGAATCCTGATGATTACCATTTCAACGGTACGGCTAACACCGTCCCGATGCCCTTGTGATTAGCGCCGTCCATCCGGTTTCTAGTTACAGCGTTAGGTGTTATCTTTGTGAGAACATTCCTGACTTTGCATTTTGCTATATTTTACTTCTTATAAACTGAATACGAAATGTAACTAGCGTTGTTGTCATGCTGTTTTCATCCAATAAAGTTGCTGCTATAGTTTCGAACCGAAACCACACTGAGTTTCATTTCTTATACATCAAAATTAGTAACCTGATAATTTAAAACTTTGCTCCGACTTCAATTTTCCAGAGAAAAATATACCATTTTGTCATTGACGGGCTTAGAGCGTCCCTTGCTCACTCCCTTGATACCCAAGACTACATTTTTTTTCAGTAAAATGCTACATATTGCTGTGTATTGCTGGTGCGAAAATTACCTACCTCCTAGATATATCCGCCGTTCTTCAATTGTCATAAGGGCATAATACGCTATCAGTGTAGCGAAAGTATAGTCTTGTGGGCATTTACTCTCATAGTGAAACCCCTTAATTCGTTTATAATCAACCTTATTCTGTTTTATCTTTGTTGCGAGGTATTGCGAGGTAGTGGCTCTGCTTGCCGCAGCGTTTCCAGTGCAATATCCAACATTGGCTAACAGTTTCTTATAACTGCGCCTCCTCCTAGATAGATTCCTAAATTCGCCACTGATAGCCAAATTGGTCAAGTTTACTATTTTTTTTTGTTTGTTATTGTTTCAAATAAAATTTTAATCAAAATGAAACATGATAGTGATTCAGTTATATATAAAAACAAAAAAGTTACAGCCTATCAAAGTTGCGCCCCGCGAGAATATTTTATTCCGTCTGAGCGCGACGCGTGACGTCACACTTCACTATCCAGACTCAATTTCTTAAACAGACGTATAGGTATAGGTACACATACAGCGGGAACACGTGGTAGGCTAAACGTCTTCCGCGCCAATTTGTTTAATTAGTTGACTGTATATCCAATCGGTTATGAGCGAAATGACAAAAAAAGGTTGTTATAAATACTGTATCATTCCAAAAGGTAGAAGCCCAACGATTACAACCCCTGATAAATATTTTTTCTACGTACCCTCACATGAAAATATCAGGAAGAAAGGGTGCAAACTTATGAAGCATGATTTGATTGGACCAAAAAGTACAACATATGTCTGTGAAGGCCACTTTGATGTGAGTAATTTTGTTATTGAAATATTTCCTTTAATAAACATAATACTACTTCCAACTTTAGATAGCGCCGATTTCATCCAGTACGTAAAGTACTTGCAGGCTCCTTGCTTCTTTTCAAAAGGAAGATCAAAAACGTTATTGTTGTGTGTTTACATCAACCAAGCTTAGCAGCACAATTATGACACACAACAGTTTCAGTTTTTTCCTCACTTTCGTTACAGACCAATGTACAGTGGTAAGTTTTCACTTGATGTTTAGGTGTAACTCTGCATTTTACAATGCATTTAGTACCTTCACGTTTCAACTGAACATAACCAATAGCATCTTCACGATACGAATATAATAATAATAATAATAATAATAATAATAATAATAATAATAATAATTAACGTCTTTTATTTGTAATATTCTTACAGTAGGCGAGATTTAGATTATATATTATCTATTCTACCATCTAACCCCCTTAACAATATGAGATGTAAAAAAAATATATATATAAATATATATATATATATATAAATAATATCTACCTGCCCTGAAAAATGTCGAGTTATATTCTCAAATCTGTAGGCAGTAGGCATAAATACTTACTTCCAAAGTTTCACACCTTTTATTTCCGCGCTTGTATATGATGGATTTGAAGAAATATACTAAGTGACATATAAATCCGAACCCCCAGTTTAAATGGTTTTATTTTAATAAAAGTTGGTGAATGTATTTATTTTACTGTAAATAACAAGTGAAAAAATTTCCAGCCTTATCAGTTGGACATTCCGGTTTTTATACTGCTTTTTTTAATTCACTAACGCTCTAAAAATGAATATATCAGCCGCAGTAAAGAATCAACGTTGGCGGATTTTGGTTCTTGACATCCTTTACGATAGGTTACGATGCCTAGAGTACGGAGACCTGTACGATTTCGTCAACTTAGTGAGTTTGATAGGGGCCGTATAGTGTGACTTCGGGAAGCTGGACTTTCTTTTCGGGCAATTGCAGTTAGAGTGCAAAGAAGTGTAGACACTGTGGTTAGGTGTTGTCAGTCATGGCTTCGAGAAGGCCGTACGCAAAGAGCAAGGGGCACTGGACGCCGCCTAAGATTATTGGCCTTAAGGGATCGTTTCTCCACTACCAGGTCCATTGCAAATGAATGGTTTGCAGAACGCGGAAGACCTATTGGCATGCGAAGTGTTTACCGACGAATGAGAAGTTTTGGCTTTTTTTCATACCGGCCACTTCTTTCAACATAATGATGTCACATTGTTACCATGGCCACCAAGATCTTCCGACTTATCCCCAATTGAGCACGTGTGGGATATGATGGGTAGGAGATTGCTCAATTTGCAACGTCCTCCTCAGACTCTAGAAGCACTTCGAGAGGAGTTGGTGGTTGCCTGGAATGAGATACCACAGGAGGACATTGACCACCTGATCAGAAGCAAGCCTAGGTGCGTTGGAGAATGCGTAGCACATCAGGGTGCATCCACACATTATTAAAGGTCAAAGGGCTTTAAAGCAGTGCAATCATTTTGAAATTTTTATCATTTACTTATTATGCTTCATTAAGTACTTATACAAAATTTTATTAAAATAAAACCATTTAAACTGGGTGTTCGGATTTATATGTCACTTAGTATAAATTCTATCACTGCATAAATAACCCTTTTATAAATCCGGCTTTGATAATGGTACGAACTTACGCAGTACTCAATAGTTTTCAACTGGAAACCACGTTACCGAGCGCTCAGATGTGTCTTATGAATTATTGTCTATAGACTAATGAACATCACGAAACTTCCCTATTGTATGTTTTTCCCTGGACAATCAAGGTCGGAGCAAAGTTTCAAACTGGTATTTCACTAATTTTAAGGTGAACACTGCAAACTGTTGGAAAACCATGCGTGGCATAGAGATGCGACGTTATACTGTAATGTCTGGGCCAATCCTTGGGTACATCTTTGAGAAGAGCAGCACATTCTTAGCTTGAAAAGTAGAGTAAGTAAATTCAGAAGGAGGTGCCAAAATAGAGAAGAGCTAATTTTGACCCGAGGTAGGTATATGGGTCGAAATGTCGAATGTCGCACGATAAGTATTTACTGTGATCCGTCAGTATTTATAATGATTCATTCAATGGAATGAGGTATTTATTGTCCGCATTACCTGGACGCAGTAATTAATAAGGCTTCGTAGAAATTCACTGACATGACAGAATCACCAGTAAATACTTATGGTATGGACCACAGCAAATACTGGTCGTGTGACATTCGGCTAAGCTAAATACTCTAAATGAACCTGCTCTGCTCCAGAAACTTCTTTACGTATTCGACAGGAATTGCGAACGAAATGCCTGACGTCATCCTAAGATTGTTGATGCCAATCACGTGACCGTCCAGATTAACCAATGGGCCTCCGGAATTGCCAAACGTTATCGAGGCGTCTGTTTGTATGTAAGTCATCGAATAGTTCTTCAGACCTAGTTCTTCTGCTGGACGATCCACACAGCTCACCTAAAACAGTTTATTTTAAAGGATATTTCTCTTAAGCCTGGTTTTTCAATCGCAAGTTAACTTAATCATTGTTGCCTCCTCGTTTGAACTATCGTGCTCTGTGCGTGTCGGGTCCTTCAATACAGTGTTGCCGAACATACCTATTTTTCGGTATTTCTACCGAAATGAGGCATTTACCGAAAAATTCTGTGTAGTATTTGTATAATATAGATAGGTTTATGGCCCATATCATCAATCACGAGGGACGTGGACTTGGGTTGCAGATAATTATATGCGCATATCCCTTACTCCGCTTTCCCTGTATTAGTTTTTGACTAGTAGATCACCGCCCATACCGCATCACTGTACAAACAATAAGAAAACCGAAGCTCGTCTGTTTTTAATTAAATACTAGATATTAAATTAAGATGGCATGTGATGAGGCGTCAAGATCAGGGTAGAACAAAAAAACACCAACACAGTCTGAAGATAAAAAACTTTAATAACAAATTATAATTTTTTTACACACATCAGAGAAAAAACTCCGTCCCCAACGATATGAAATTTTCCATTTTTTTGCTAATAGCTCCGCAGCCACGACTGCCTCTAGATTTCCAAAATTTAAAGTTTTTTTCATCTTTGGTATGAAATGAGCCTTCTGTAGAAATTTCCGGACAGGCAACAGACGACAGATAGACAGCCGAAAATGTATGACATAGTTCTTCCTAAAGACAATGTCAGGCAATATCCAAAACTCATAGTACTTCGACATTAAAGGCCCGGTTTTTCAATAGCAAGTTAACTTTTTGGTTAGTTAACTATCGCCAGGAAGTTAACTTGTAGTTACTTGCAAATGCGTTTTTCAAGTATCTTGACAGCGTCAGTTATCTTACCAGAAGTTCAACATATATTTATGCATCTGTGTCCCGTGTCATACGTTATACATGATAGTTCGATTGAATGAAATTTCTTAAAGCAGCCAAAATCGAAATCCGGAAATTTCATTAAAAACGAATAAAACGTAAAACCTTCATGGAGCAAGGTAAGTTTTTTCCAACATTGCTCGTACAAATGTTTAGAATTAGACCCTATAGACGGCGTTATAGAAATGGTGATAAAAAAGGTTGCAAATGCAATGTCTAATGAACACTAAGGTCAAAAAACACTGAAGTTGTGAATATCTGCTAAATATCGTATTTTCCACCTTTTTTAACATCACTCCTACAATTTACAATCCAAAAATAAAGGGGACACACAATACCTCTATTCTTGTTGCTAAAATTTCGAAAAAACTGTCTTCTAGCAAGGAGAAAGATATCAAAAAGAGAGCTCAAAATTTCTCGAAGAATGAGGAAATGATGCTATCATTGGTGAGCAAAAAAGATGTAATAGAGATCAAAACAAGTGGCACAGTTATGTGGGAACAGAAAAGTTCAGTATGGCAGTGCATCGAACAAGAATTCCAAGCCCTAACAGGGTGCCACCGAGAGGCAAAAACTCTACGAGATAAATGTTTCAATTTAAAGAAAAAACAAAAAGCAAATTTGCTACAAACAAAGGCAATATAATCAAAACAGGGGGAGGTTCATGCCAATTACAGGCATTCGATTTGATTGATACACAGTTACAAGAATCATTTTTTTAATTATTCATTTTTTAGTTCCTGATGCAAAGAACTGATGACAGTGAACTGGTCTTCAATAATGGGAAATGGAGCTCCTATACTCCCCAACAACTGAAGAGGCCCAAAACTAGAAAGCTATCATGTACGAAAACGGAACAAAATAAAAAATATATTTCTGTTGACTATCTACTAATGGAAGAAAAGCTGAATTTTGTGAAACTACAAAAAGAAAAATTCAGTGAAGAACACAAATGGAAATATATCAAATAAAGGTTCAGCTGTTAGATTTACAGATCAATGCATTATATAAGTAGAAAACAAAGGATTTATTTTGTCAAATTCTGGAATATTTCCACTTTCACTCATTTTTTTTTTGTGTTTCGCATTTTTGAGGATAATATGTTATTTTAATAATAAAATGTTTTCAGAAAATCATGTTTATTTTGATTCTGTAGTTACAAGAAATAGGGGATAATTCATATGTCAAGTAGATGAGAGCTATGGCGAAAGCTTTAGGTGTCCAAAAAGATCGATTGAGTGTCCATTTTGAGGCTTGTGGCATCTTTTTTCAAATGCCGTGTGCACCTTTTTTGGGCACCAACAATTTTGGCCACAACTCTTATCCACTTGCCATGGATAATCACAGATCTTATACTAAACAACTTTCATCTAGTATCGAGTCATTCACTGAGCATCAGTGAAAGTATTGAATCGATTTACTCTTATCCACTTGCCATGGATTATCACAGATCTTATACTAAACAACTTCCATCTAGTATCGAGTCATTCACTGAGCATCAGTGAAAGTATTGAATCGATTTACAAATTTGCAAAATAATTATTAGTAAGATGCAGTTGATTTGGAAACCCCAGCAAAATCACCAGCAACAGTTAAAAAACTTCCATTGGCGTAATAGCGCAGTGCTAACAACAGCTGCTGTTGGGGCGTTAAGCAGTTATTCCTGGAATAACAAAGTCATGTAGAAATATGGAAATAAACAATAATATATACTTGTACCTGCTTGTAGGATATACTAAATCTTCATAAGCTTCGTCCAGGAGAGTTTCAACAGTATTTTTTGAAAGGCGAAATCTTGCAAGGAAATCAAGGTCATCAAAGTAATTCGGCCGATGGCGGATTATTTTTGGCCTTCCTGCGTCTTTATCACTGCTATACGCATTCACGTCGTAATCCATAAACGTGTTTATATCTTAAATTAATCGATAGATTGATATGGACTTGTTGTGATTTTTTGAACAAACGTCTAAATTTATGTCAAAGAAACGTCAGGCATTGCTATTTAACTACAGCCTTTCTAGTTAACTCATAGATGGTCTTCTGGTTAAAGTTAACTACCGTTTTACCATAAACAAGATATTGAAAAACGGTTTTTCATAAATAACCTATAAGTTAAGACCAAGGTCGTAGTTAACCTGCGATTGAAAAACCGGGCCTTATTTGTTAGCAATATACTTACTATGCCAACAGTAACCGAGTTACTAAGGGACAAAGGACTTCCCAACGCTACTACCCATTCTCCAATAGCTGTATCGCCTACTGAGGCGAACTGCAAGCTAGGTAGTTTCTCTAGCGATTCTAATTTTAACAAAGCTAGATCCAGGTTCACGTCTACATCTTCTACATATACCTGTTGAATAATAATTTATTCATTTGTTGTAAAAATATAGCGCTATTCTGCAACATATCTTCTTTAAGTCGTGTTTGATTTTCAATATCAATTATTCTGTACTAATTATATATCCTAAAGTGATCTCAAGTATATCTATACACAACTTATCCGACAAATTTTAACCACATATGCACTGTTACGAAAGGAGTTGATTTCTCAAAAAAATGTCATAAAACTCCTACAGAAATCGAGATAAGATAATATAATTTAACAGTTCACTTACTTATAAAAGCTATTCAAAATTGTTTCCATTGACTGCAGTGTAAGGTTTGGCGCGTCTAATCCAATTTCCGCGCACTAATTTAAATGCACCTCTTTCCTGCTGTGTCCGAAGGCTCAAATTATCGGCAGCCACTGTGATTCGGTCACGCAATTCTTCAATTCTGACCTGGAGTAAGGTATAGCTCGTTTTTCAAGTATCCCCTCGGTTGGCCGCGTGGGTCAGAGTGTCGTGCTACTGATCAGCCGGCCGGCCGGGCCGCGAGTTCGAATCTCGCCTTCGCCATGGATGTTGTGTGTTTGTTTTAGGCAGCAGCGGTGGCCGCAGTAGTAGACCCTTCGGTCTCCTGATCAGCCGCCGTGCGCTGTGCGGGTTCGAGTCCCGTCCCAGGAGAAATGTTTCTCTTGGCCATGGATGTTGTGATTGTCCGTAGGTGGTAGATGGTCTCTGACTGTCGAACGCGGAGGTACCACCCGGCGGTTCTCGTAGGCGGAGCCAGAATGTGTGCATGTTGCATGCACACGTGTTCCCTCGCCAGAGTCCGTGTGGCGTCCCCCCTTTCCCATGTATCCCCCATAGCCCCACGGTACCCAATGGGTGCTTAGGCCTTAGGCCTTCGTGGTAGTTGGAGTATAAAAAAAAAAAAAAAAAAAAAAAGAAGTCCAGAGGATTTAGATCGGGAGACCGTGGAGGGCATGCAATTGGTCCACCCCTTCCGATCCAGCGTATCTGGTAAGTACCCGGCCTAACCTAGAGATGGCGATAGTTGTTTGAAAAATATCAATAATCAAATCCAAGCGGATAACCAAAATTTCCGTATTATGTACCGCGGTTATAATATGGTTCAAGATGACACACGGGATGGTGACGTCAGTTACTCGAATTGCTTGAACGCGTTGGTTTTAACCGCGGTTTGTTGCAAGTTGTTTATTTTAGAAAAGCGCGTATATAATTTCTGATTATTTTTATTATCACTTAATAATCGGTGCTTTTTCGTCTACAACGGGGTATGGAAAGTTGAAAAAAAGAAAACTTTCATAATATTAATGGGAGGAATGTTTTTTTTCCGAAAAAAAATTTTACTGATGGAACCATGGCTTTGTAGCTGTGATAACTTTCAATTCTCTAAACTTTTCCGCATGTCAAAGAAAATATTTATTGATTTAGCAAAAATGATGAAAAAGCGATGAAAAAAGATATTAACAAAACCGTATACAGGTGGATATCATCCAGTGAGTTTATACGGCCATATTTTAATATTCTTGTGGTATATGGCTATACAGGATACTTTTTTAAGTGTAGGAAGTAGATTTAAAGTGTCCCCAACAACAGTGATGATTATAAATAATGCTAAAACTGAAGTCAGCCTGTATCAAGTTTCCCAAAAATGAAGCTGAAGTACAATAAAAATATCCAATACCCGGCAAAATTCTAACTTGTCACATGTTAAATAATAACCAGAAATATAAAACTACTCCGGAGTTGGGTAAATACCACAATTTTGCGGTGATAACTATGACATATAACAGCTGATTCGTGACGTCACGGATCTTATAACCAAACTGATAACTACAATCGCTTGAACGGATTGGTAAATACCAAGCCAAAATGGTAAATACCATTTCCATTTGGTTATCCGCTTGAATTTGATTATTGTATTGTATCACGTTGTTTAGTATCTGTTTGGCAGCCATCAATAGGTACTGAACGTTTTCAGTGAATTTGTGAAAATTGGTCATCGTTATGTGGTACAATACTTTTATTTCAAAGGCCTCAGCCCAACCAATATAAAAGCTGAACTGGATTCTACTCTGGGTGAGTCTGCTCCTTCGTTTACAACAGTAAAATTTTGGGTAGCAGAGTTTAAACGAGGCCGTATGAGCTGCCAAGACGGGCATCGCAGTGGTTGACCAAATGAGGTGACAACTCCAGAAATGGTGAAGAAAATTCACAAAGCGGTACTGAATGATCGTCGACTGAAAGTGCCCGAGCTAGCAGACATTGTAGGCATTTCAAAAAGTGTGGTTCATCGCATATTATCTGAAAATTTGGACATGAGAAAGCTGTGTGCAAGATGAGTGCCGCGATTGCTCACAATCGAGCAAAAACAGTGTCGCGAAGATGTTTCAGTTGAGTGTTTAGCGAAGTTTCACAGCAACAAAGCAGAATTTTTGCGTCGTTTCATAACATGGGTCCATAACTGCACACCCGAGACAAAAGAACAATCAGAACAATGGACTCAAAAGGGACAACCGGCTCCAAAGAAGGCGAAGACCGGTTCATCTGCAGGCAAGGCTATGGCGTCGTTTTTTTGGGATGCGGGTGGGATAATTTTCATTGACTATCTTTAAAAAGGTAAAACTATCATCGGCGAGTATTATGCGAACTTATTGCAACGTTTGAGCGATGAAATCAAGCAAAAACGGCCGCATTTGGTTAAGAAGAAAGTGTTGTTTCATCAAGACAATGCACCAGGTTACAAATCCGTTATTGCAATGGCCAAAATTAACGAATTAAAGTTTGATCCTGCACCCTATTCACCAGATTTAGCCCCCTTGGATTATTTTCTGTTTCCAGACTTGAAAAAATGGAAAATGGCTCAGTAATCAAAGATTTTCCAACGATGAAGAAGTGATGTCGGCAGTTAATGGCTATTTTGAGGAGCAAGACAGTTCTTATTATAAAAAGGGTATCGAACTTATCGAACATCGCTGGGAAAAGTGTATAGAGCTCAAAGGAGATTATGTTGAAAAATAAATACATTTTTTTACAAAATTTTTGTTTTATTCGTTGGGTCGGGTACTTCTGGGACCACCCTCGTATAACTGATTCAAAAAATCACGAACTTCTAAACGAAAATGCGGAGGTGCCCCATCGTGCAGAAACCACATCTGTGCTTGGACCGCCAATGGCACATCTTCAAGAAGGACCGGCAAATCATTCCGAAGAAATTCCGAATACTGGTGACCAGCCATCCGATCTGGCAATATGAACTGTCCAATTAGACGTTAATCGACAATACCTGCACACACGCTTAAAGAAAAACGATGTTGAGGACCAAACGTGTGTATTATGAAGATGGTTATCCTATTACGAGTAAAAATAGCTTCATCATCAGCTGTAAAACTCAGATTTATAACAATTTCTGTAGGACTTTTATTACATTTTTTTTTGAGAAATCAACTTCTTTGGTAACAGTGCATATGTGGTTAAAATTTGTCGGATAAGTTGTGAAACACCCTGTATACCTACATGACACATTCAGGAACACCTTCAATAATTGTCATGTCCTGTAGTGCAAACCAAGCTGGAATCCCTCGCGTACTGACAAACATAAAATAGAGTGGGATACGAGAATTGTAACTCTGCCCTACAAAGTTTTATATTTTGTGGGATTTTAATACGGATGTAATTCCAAAAACCTCTAAAATATTTTTAGTCTATGCAATCTATGGATTTGACGCTAGACCCACTGAGATTTCTAGCAATTCATCTTCTACCCTAAATTCATCTCGGAATTTTTTTGGTGGTGATATTCGACGTTGGCGCTCCAAATGACTAGTTTTTTTCTCTCTTGTGGGCACAAAGAATGAAAATGTAAGTTTTTCACGACAGTATGGAATGCAAAAGGAAACCGGCGTTTAAGAAGAGATAATTTTTTTTAGCAGTAGTAGCATAGGAAATAAACCCGTATTCAAAAATATGGTGAATGTGCTCAGAGGTTTGTGTGGCGACCTCGATAAGAAGCGACAAGAAGTCCCAAATTCTGCAGAACGATTTAAAAACAGTGGGTGCCCATTACAGGGGGCAAGAAGGGCAGTATGACCCCCAGACTTCCGCTTGAGGAGTAAAATATTCTTAATAGAGAACCCATTTCGTGGACGACTGGTGCGTGTTTTTTTACTCCTCAAGACAACCCTCCATAGAAATCAATTAAAGGTTTTTCGCAGATGTGAAGTATTTATTTGTTCTATTTTATAAAATCCAATAAAATTTTTTAGTAGTTCATCATGTACATTAGTGTCTGCATAATTTTAGGTATAATCAAACTTATTTTCTGGGCTATTTATGCATTAATAATGCAGCCAAAAAATGTATGGATCCACTGTCTGCCCAGGCTCACAATAAGTGTATTCTTTCAGTATTAATCTGTGTTAATGATTGTTGTCCTTTGTTCGATTTTACTGCCTATCACATGTGAAGCAGGGAGATATATTTGATTGCAGATTGCTGCCACAATCTCCTAAGGAAGCTTGTTTAAATTTTGCTGACCCAATTTATTGCGACTGATTTGGACTATTTCTGACAAAAATATATCAAAACGGATCAAAATATATAATGACAACTCAAATTTCCTGATATATTTATATGCGACCTTGTCAGGTGTTCTTAGCTAGAAAGAAACGAAGCTAACTGCATAGAAATACTGTTCTTAAGGGAATAATCCACACCGCAAAGGGACTATCCGTTAGATAACAGATCCACATTCCAAAAAATGCGCTGGTTTATGAAATTTGCTTATTTTCAACAATCTGACAACCAAGTTGGAGACTGCGAGATGCTTGACACCTTGGCTCTGATAAATGGGTGTAGCGAATAGATTTTTTCATCGTATTTCCATATTATCTCGTTCATTTTTTGAACAATCTCGAAAACGTTTTCACATATCATTGTTTACAAGTTAGGTAGAAAAATTATTAGATAATATTGTTTAGAAAAACATTTCTTAAAAACAATGACCTCATGACATGAAAATACTAACTTAATGTGGGCACGAAATTTGACGTCGGTCGCATTGATATTTTTCGAGAAAGTATGTAAAAAATTTCGACCAAATAAAATTTTTTGAATAAATTGTATCGAACATAACAATAGCATTATTGAAGCATGTACCGCTACAGTCCATCACAAAGATCCAATCAGCAGCCGCAGAAAAACAACATAAATACGTGGCCAACCACCTTAAGGTGGATTGAGGTGTGCTGTGTTCGAATCACGAGATGACGCAGCTCTACTACATTCATATAGGGAACCAATTGCAGCACGATTATCATAAATTTGCTGCAACAATCTAACTTAATTTTGAATCCTCCCAGTTGGTACTCACCACCGTTAGTAGCGCCAGATAAAAAATAACAGGAACACTTTATATAAACATGGGCCCTAAAATACTTTCTGTCTGAGATACAAGGTGTTAAGAATTTTGAAAAAGGAAATTGATTTATACGCCTACGCCGGTGACTTTTTGAAACATGTCTTACTTTTTTTAATAAGGGATTTCAAGTTTATGTACATGAATCTTGAGAAATGTTTGTCCCTTCTCTTGGAGAAAAATTGGCTTGAATAATCTGTGTCAAAAAATAGTCAAACCGTTCTAGTTTGAAAATACGCTGAAGTTAGTGAAGTTTGACATTCAAAAATTGTATGTAGGGGAAACGCAATAGAAAACGAGTACAGATACGAGGGATGTCTTTTAAGTTTTCCATATGGAAATAAAAGAACACGGTAGGTAGTTTTAAATGACTTTATTGTTTTTCGAAGTATTCTCCACGAAGATTAATACACATCTGCATGCGCTCGAACCAATTTTTGAAGTACTTATTCCACTCGTTTGCTGGCAGATAAAAAACGGCATTTTTGAATGCGCCTACTGCTTCTTCTGGTGACTGGCACCTTTGACCACGCAGTCTGCTTTTAATTTTTGGGAAAGTAAAGAAATCGTTAGGACTTAGATCGGGACTATATGGGGGATGGTCCAATAATTCCACGTTTTCTTCCGTTAAATACTGCCTTGTTTTTTGGTCTGTGTGCGAGCTTACATTGTCTTGGTGGCGGATGATTATTCTTTCGGGGTTGATTTTTCGAAGCTCGATGATGACTTTTGGCAAACAAATGGTGGTATACGAATCCGCAGTAAAAGTTCTTTGCTCATTAAGAGGAATTGTTGCAAAATGACCCGCTTTTGACACAAATCTCGCGACCATCTTTTTCGAAACACTTCGAGAATGGATGACTTTTGTTGGCTTTTCTTCACCTTGGAACACCCAAACAGCCGACTGTCGTTTATTTTCTGGTTCTTAACAGTAAATCCACGATTCATCACCACTAAGAATGCTGTTCACATTTTTTGAGTTTCCGGTATTGAAACGGTCAGGCGTTTTTTGACACCAATTAACCCTGGCTGCTTTCTGCTCTTCAGTCAACAGGTGGGGTATCCAACGAGAAACTAATTTTCTTACTCCTAATTCTTCATGTACATTTTTTTGAATTGAGGTCTTTGAGATCTTCAAGGACGCCTCAATCTCGCGATATGCCACATGTCTATCTTCAATGATGAGTTTCCGCACAGCATCGACGTTTTTAAAACAGACAGTAATTCAGCAAGGCATTCTTGTTGCGAAAGTTGTAATAAATTATGGCGCGAAAATGTTCTCGGTTGAGTTCCATTTTTCTAGTAACTTGGTGACACTTAAAAATTCACTGTAGTAAGAACAATGCACGTATTGTTGTGAAACTTTGAATTTAAGTTTACTAAAGAGTGAGGTTAAGATTCAGTACTGACGTTCGATCCGCGCGGCCTACTATGTTTCTATACGTATATGCAAAACTTAAAAGACATCCCTCGTATCTATTATTGAAAAAACTGGCCGTGTGAAACAGAGCACCATCAAAAGGGTACTGCAGAATTCCCAACTAGCACGAATACGTCAGATTCACGTCGATATCAGGTCGAGGTCGTGTAAAGTCCCAAAATGCAACGTCACTATAACGTCATCTTGATCACGCAATTAGATCATTTTGACTGACTAGATTGAGAAAATCAGCCCTGTTTGAATTTTGAGGGATATGTCCGCCCAAAAACAGGTATATAAAATTTGCAGTACAGCAAACATTTATCGTAGATCATCTCAAGTGTTATTTTCAAGTATTGCAAACGGCTAAATTATTACTAAAAAAAGCATCTCGCGCAATATTTGCTTGATTGTAATCCTAGTAGTTTTCCATATCCGTATCAATTGTCAAATCGCCGTGCAAATAGAATGCAAATGGAAAGAAAAATATAAACGATTGTTAAGTAGATATGATTTGTGGAATTTCCACCAACAATTTTTTGAAGGTGCTGCCTTTTCCGTTTGAGCTGGGTACGCTTTTGCCAGGGAAGAAATTTTACCCCCAACTGTCTCGCTGGTTACAGCTTAAGGTTAATAGCACCCTTCTTATTGGTCGAGAATTGAAAACTATCGCAACAACTTACCTTATAGCTTTTGCCGTCCCTCATAAAAGCGGTAATGGTCGACTGTGGCTTATTCAGCACGACATGCGCATTGGTGAGAGCCCAACCATCCTCGCTAATCACGAACCCTGAACCGTTTGAAGTTATGACCGATTCGCCAGTTTCCAGGTACTTCGTGTAAGGATCTCTGATCTCCAGGTAAAACACTGCTGGAGCGCAGTGGTTCACTACTTTGTTGATGAAGTTGTAACGTTCACGAAGGGTGCCTTCTTTGGGGTCGTTTTCGATTCCTGGTTGACTCACTGGTGCGAGGGATCCTGGGTTTTCTCCTTCTTTTGCTTCCACCGTATCTAAAATATGAAAAAAATGGCGTCAAGTAGGTTGACTGCACTTCCCGCGTTCATAAAAGATTATGTCGGGCACAAAGCCCCTCTTACAGAAAAGTTAATTACGAAAGGGATCAAATGCATCAAGACTAATAGGCCCATATAGTTATTCTCCAGTCTCCGCCCATTTGCCAACGTTGCGATTCAGAATCTTCTCTCCTGACGTACAGACTATGCGACAACGTTGCGTGTTGAGTATACAAGGTGGCCAATATATAACTGACTGATTGCGCGCCATTTTTGATACACGCATTTCAGTAGGTGGCGCCGTAGTATTTGTTTAAAGCACATGCGTCCAGTTCATCATGGAGCGCTACACGATCCCACAACGCGTCCGTATTGTAAAAACGTTTTATCTAAATAATGAGTCGATTTTTGCAACAATTCGGAAGCTACGACAAGATTACGGTCGAAATAATGTGCCCAGCATTCGTTAGTTGGTGCAGAAATTTGAAAAAAGAGGTGAAGTTAAAGACTTGCCAAGGCCGGACCGTGTTCGAATTGTTCGTACTCCGGAAAATATCAAGAGTTTGTGAAAGTGTTTTAGTGGAGCGCCCTGAGACGTCTACCAGACATCGTTCTCAAGAACTGGGTATCTGTCATTAGGCACTATTTTAAAAAAAGACATGCATTTGCGGCCATACAAAATTCAGATAACCCGAGAACTAGTGACCATAAAAGTCGCCGACAATACAGTCATGCAATATTGCAGCTTAAGGCGGCTCCGACACAGTGAGTTTCAAGCCAGTTACAAGGGTTCAGCTGCTTCGAAACTGACACTCCATTTTTCAATATTTTTGAATGAAATTCATACAGTAGGTTGAGAAGATAATTGCCCAGGGTGCTATAGGAGCACTTTTTGAAATTTTTAAAAAGAACCTAGTGAAAAAAATGAAAAAGTGGCTCTATAGCACCCTGCGGGGCTTTGTTTTCAGCACACTGTAAAAATTTCATCCAAAAATATCAAAAAATAAAGCGTCAATTTCGAAGTGCGCAAACCTCTACAAATCGTATTTTTACGAATTTTGTCTACTGTTTCGTGCTGCCAACCCAAGCGTTGCGGCGCACTGTACGGACTAAGAAAGGACGTATTCAGATAATTTGGTGGCCCTATTTCATAATATCGCGTAGATAAGTCGTTCTCATAATCGCGATCGCTAATATTCCTCGATTTTAAAGCCGTTTTACTTCCCACGCGAAACATTTATAAAATGAGATGTTATGTTTTTTTAAGTCAAACTGTATCACTCATCATCAACTTGGAAATTACCACTCGGATTTTTATAAAATTTCCACAAGGGGTTACAAGTCTGCCAAAGCTTTGTAGTTTTAGTCCAGTGGCAACGGTGCTATAGGCAAAAAAGAAAAAGTAACAATTGCTGAAACTCCGTTTTTGACGTTTCAGGGGTTCCTAATCATTGACATAAAAAAATTGTACTGCTTAAAAAGGGGAGGTTGAAATCAGTGAAACACGTTCTATTATTAAGAAGCTTCTGATCCCAGTGATTACAGGAAATTTAAGTAACGAAAATGCGACGAATAATGTGCTCACGGTTTGAATAAATCGGTACCTGCTCTACAGGTTTGACACCAAGCGCCAACAGATCTGCAACTACCGACAGTAGGGAAGAATAAATTCGGTTATCACTCCAGTCAAGTATAGAGGAATTTAGCGTGGAAATATGGTTTTGAGAATGATAATGTGCTAGATTTTATACCTGCATTTTCATTTGAATTTCATTACCTGTGAAATGTACCCATTTCGCCGTTACCCTCAATTTATGTTCTGCAGTTTGTGATGTTTTTCTGGATATAAACAGGACATAATTGCCTAGGGTGCTATCAGAGCTTTTTACAAAATTTTGTCTGTGCGTAAGAATTATGGTGGGTTGGAATGCTTACTATTTGTGCTCAACTTCTTGATATTCTAAAAAGATCCTAGTGGATAAAATCGAAAAAGTGGATCGCTGGCACCCTATGGAGTTGGTTTTTAGCACGCTGCATGAGTTTCATTTGGAAATAATAAAAATGAAACGTAAGCTGTGAAGTGCAAATCGATTTTTGGGCGAAATTCATCTACTGTTTTGTCCTGCCAGTCCAAGCGACGCGACGGTGCGTTCCGACTAAGAAAAAATGTATTCAAATATGTCTATATCTTTCCTAAAATAAATTCAAGAACTCAAATTCAAATTCGTTTATTCATGTCAATAAACACAATTATGTTTACAAGGGTCATGTGGTAGATGGTAACAATTGAACGAGGGTCATAAAAATATCTTATGCCGTCAAAATAAGAGGAAACAGTTAATGTTGGACCAGCGAAAGATTGCAAGCCGAAAGAATGCGGACAAAAAATTGCGAAGTTGTCAGATGTTCTACATAAAATGCGGTCCATACATATTAACATATTTAAGATATAGAATTGTTCCGCTGAATTTGGCAATGTAGCTGGAAAACCCAGGCCGCAGGTAAACATCCGGTCGCTGATTGGTCCAAAACTCTTATCTTATCTGAAACTAGAATAACGTGCCGATGGCACGGTCATTTATAAACCTACTCCCATAGGCGTAGGCAGTTGGCAAATACTTTGAAAATATAATTTACTGTTTAGTGGTGATAATGGAATTCAAGCATGGGAAAGTTATTCACAGCCAGGCAAGGGAAATAATAGCAAACGTGATACGTGCTTGCGATGCAGAAGCGGCTAACAATACTTTCGTTTATCCACTGGTAGCTAGAAATGCAAGGGCGGCATATTATACGGGTGTTAGTGAACGAACTATAAGTAAAATTAGAAAAGAAGATAAAGACAGGCAAAATGCAACCTCCACACAGCCTTTAGCTTCTCCCGGAAAAAAGAGATCACGCCCTTCTGTGATCCAAAAAATTGATGGAGTCGATTTTTCCATTATTCGGAGAATGATAGAAAAATTTTACTGTGATTTTAAAGTGGTACCTACTTGTAGTAAACTTCTAATCAAACTGAAGGAAGAAATGGAATTTCCATTTGGTAAAGAATCGTTGAGGCTGCTTTTAAAAGCAAAAGGATTTTACTGGCGTAAATGCCACAACAAAAGGAAATTACTAATGGAAAGACCCAGTATTTTACATTGGCGATACAAGTATCTTAGGTCTATTAAAAAGTTCCGGGAAGAAGGAAGGCATATTATTTATTTGGACGAAACTTGGGTTGATAATGACCTCACTTTCAAGAAATGCTGGCAAAGCGAAGAAATTATGGGTGTCCTGAGCAATATAAGTTCTACAGGTAATAAAGTTTCTTTCACCTCGATTTTGCTTATTATACATTTTTCTCAATTTTGGAATATTCTTAATAAGTGCTCATTTAATTTGTCTAATTGAATACATAATCCCTTGCAAGTATTTTTTTCTCAAAAATATGTTTTTTATACATAGTGATTCAAAAAGGTGTTGGCAAACTTAAAATAACACTAAAATGAGGCTATTTATTCATTTCCAGGACGACTTATAATTGTTCATGCGGGTTCGCAAGATGGTTTTGTTCCTGGAGCCTGTCTCATTTTCAAGGCTGGCTGTGCCACTGGTGATTATCACGGTCAAATGAACCAAGAAAATTTCACGAAGTGGCTTACTGAAAAACTATTTCCTAACATTCCTCCTAATAGTATTATAATAATGGATAATGCACCTTACCATTCAGCTTTGGAAGACAAGCCTCCAACTAGATCTTCTCTAAAAAGAGACATCATCACGTGGTTGAGCAAAAAAGGTATAGAGCATGATCCTAATGCTAAAAAAATGGAGCTTTATGAAATAGCTTGTCTACATAGGCCACCATCTGATGAGAAAAATTATAAGATAGATAATTTAATAAGAAGTTTCGGACACACCCCACTTCGAACGCCACCCTATATGTGTCAGTTTAATCCCATAGAGATGATTTGGGCACAAGTAAAATTTTTCATTAGAAGCCATAATACAAGCGGCGAATTTACTATAAAAAAACTAGATGAAATTTCTAATAAGGCCATCGCTTCAGTAAGTGCCAGTGACTGGCAAAAGGTTATTGGACATGTTATAAAAATTGAAGATGAATATTGGGAAAAAGACAGTCTCATTCAAGAAATACAGGAAGAAATAATAATCAACATAGGAGGTGAAAGTGATAGCAATGACAGTTCCTCAGACAGTGATCATGACTCTAATCAGGATTGAAACTATACTAGATTGGCTACCTTTTAGAATTTTTAGATATTCATTTATTATACTATTGGTTTGTGGCTTTTAGTATCTCAGTAGAAAGTCTAATTCTATGTGTTGTTTATGGGTTATTTCATCAAGAAATTACTTTTTGTTTTCCTATATTTTTCTATTCAGTCAGATATTTTTGACTTGTTGTATTCTATTTTAGAAGAATGCATAATTTGTTTTGCTGTTCAATCATAATGCGTACATAGGAATATTACTTGTTGCCTAAAAAATATATTTATTTTGTTCTCAATATTCAGTGTTTGTGTATATTTATTTCTTATAATGTATGTTTGGTATCACGTCATTATGAATCGCAAAAAAATATTAATACTACCAGTTGTAATAAAATATAAATTCAATTAATAATTCAAGTCTCTCCGATCTCCGCCTATGACTCCATATAAAATCGTCTAATGGTAAGGTTTTTTCATCGCATTTCCCCCTTTCGTCCCTAGCAATCTTTGGCTGGTCGATCAATAGGTAGTTTTTGCAAAGCAATAAAGAGGTACGTTTATACCTGTATTAAGTACATGTCTTGTCTACTCTAATAGGTAGATGGAGGTGATGCTGACAGAAATGGATGTTTGCGATCAATAATCAAACCACAAGATTGAACTGCCGTGTCCAATGATTTTTGTATTGCTTTACTAGAAAACTCTGTTGGGTATATGATGGAGTTAACTAGAACTTACAGCTTGTTGTCTGCCTTCTTCTACAACCTTATCCTCCGA